ATTTTTCTATCCTGATTAGGACATTGCATTGACTTCCATTCATTTGTTTAGCACACAGAAGCAAAAAATAGTATAGTCTTTTCTCCTTCAGTGGTAGGTAACTCTATAATGGTTTTATGTTTAATTGATTTGTCCAAAATAACCATTCCAGTGTACTTTTGTCCAGTGAAATCTATCTAGTGACACTGATCATCTTATTATCGTGTCATGGTGTAAAAAGCCAGCAGCAAGCAGATATTTGAGGTTACTGATGTTTCCATCCAGGAGTTCAGCCTCAAGCACAGACAGACACGATTAGTTCAACCCCGTCTCTTCACAGATTACCTGCTCCTGACCTGCTGGAGAACCTGTTCAGTATTCTTAAAGGTAGAATCTCTGAGTGCAGTGTCTCAACGGGCTAATAGAGCGACTTCCCACCAGCGACCTCTGCAGTCGAGAACAGACATCATCATTATTAACGCTGCCATCTGCACAGAGTGGGAAAAAAAATGTGTGCAGTTCTTTGGGCTTAACAGAGCCAGCAAGTTCAGCTGACTTTTTAAACTCTGAGGTTCAGCTGTCCCTGAGAGCAGACCTATTCCAAGAACAAGACAATATCCTGATTTTTATATATATTTATAAACAATGACCCACCATCACTTATGCCAAAGTTTTAAACTAAGATCTTATGTGGAAAAATGACAGAGCTTTTGTCGTTGTTTTGTCTCATTTGATGAAGCAACATCTCGTGTGACCGTGCGTCACCTGTTAGTGCTAGAAGCATCCGTTGTAAATCAGCCTCAGCTACTACCACGCCAAACTTTAGCTCCTCATCGGTAAAACTGGCCTAGTTACAGCCTTTTTTTGTGTGTGTGTTTCCATACGTCACGTAGCTGTGGGGCTCATCTTCAACTGAGTTGACTCCAATTGTAGCTTTCTGGGTTTCATTAAGATAAATCCAATGGTTCGAGAGATATTTTGCTAACAGATAAAAAGGGTTGACTGCCAACAGTTGCCATGTTTTGAAACAAAGGTGTTGTGCAATATGTTGCCCTCAAAGTACGTGTTGAGGATGAAGCTCACCTACTACTGYATCATATACACTGCCTGGCCAAAAAAAAAAGTTGCCACAAAAAAAAAGGTCACACACTAATATTTTGCTGGACCACCTTTAGCTTTGATTACGGCACGCATTCGCTGTTTGTTTGTCACAAGGTTTATTTCCATCCAATGTTGCATTCATTTCTCACCAAGATCTTGCATTGATGATGTTAGAGTCTGACCGCTGCACGAAGCCTTCTCCAGCACATCGCAGAGATTCTCAGTGGACTCTGTGGAGCCAATCCATGTGTGTCTCATGCTCCCTGAACCACTCTAACGACTCCGGCCCGATGAATCCTGGCATTGTCATCTTGCAATATGCCCGTGCGGTCAGGGAAGAAACAATCCATTGATGGAATCACCTGGTTATTCCGTATAATCAGGTAGTCCGCTGACCTCATTCTTTGAGAGCATACTGTTGCTGAACCTAGACCTGACCAACTGCAGCAGCCCAACATCATAGCACTGCCCCCACAGGCTTGTACAGTAGGCACTAGACATGATGGGTGCATCACTTCACCTGCCTCTCTTCTTTCCCTGATGCACCCTTCACTCTGGAACAGGGTAAATCTGGACTCATCAGACCACATGACCTTCTTCCATTGCTCCAGAGTCCAATCTTTATGCTCCCTAACAAATTGAAGCCTTTTTTTATGGTTAGCCAATGATTTGACCCTTCTCAAACATGACATATTTTCCACGACCACGGGATGTGTCTTCTGACATGGTTGTTGAAGAAATGAGAAGCAACTCATTGCACCAGTTGAGGTTAAACATAGTCGTCCATGCAGTAATTATCCAATAGGAGGCTCGTACCTATTTGCTTTGTTAAATCCGAGCGGCGACAGTAAACCTGATTGAGTTAAAGTCTTTTTTGACCCTATTGAATTGGGATGAGACCAACAGTTGATCAGTGGTAGATGTACATCCAATGATTATCAAGAGGTTCATTAAACTCTGTCCCGTGGTTCATGAGATGTGTTGCTAACAGGCAGACACTTAGGTTAGGTTTTAGTGTGGCTGGATGTGGAAATCAAATCTCCCAAACCACCACAGTTACCTGCAGCCATCAGACACTGRGCTTTAACAGGATCKAATGCACACTAGTRGAGTTTCYTAAAAAACATTAGTCAGCAAAAAGMAATAAATTCCATTGAAAAACACGTTTACATGAAACACAAAGGCAGGATTTTGTTGACAACAAGCCATTTCTGTGCATCCAGGAGATATCACATCCCAYCAGAGAGCAAACACACAACCATCAATCTAAACCTACTCACCCGAGACAGTTCATGGTTTTAGCTGTTCCGCCTCACTATCGAATTAACTCACGCACCATATTCTGTGACGAGCAACAGCAACGATCAGATCGGAGCAGAACTCTGAGCAGAACAACGTGAAGAAAAATCCATCAGGGCGAAACACACACTCCCTGAGAGGTAAGAAAGGTGTGTGAGGGGTGGGGGATGGAGGAGTTAATGTATCAGTCAAGTTATTAATAAAGCAATAAAAATAACTCGGCTCACGCTGATGGAACCCTTCTTTCAGGATATTATTAAACATAAAAGGAGCTGAAAGTGGGCTAAAAGTAGTAGTGGTAGTAGTAGTAGGGGAGGGAGAAGCCAGCATGGTGGGAGAATAAAAGGTTTTATTGGCTCCTTTTTGTAAAAGAGCTGCAATCTGTGGACAGATCGTCCACAGGGAGGCAGGAAACAGGCACAGAAGCTGGTGATTCTGGCAGCCTGAGAAATACAAAGCTGTGGGCTGCAGGGATAGTTTGGTTTTTTGGCATTTTTGTGTCTCATGAGGACTACAATTAAAATTTGCAGATGGAGGCTCTGGGTATTTATTTATTTATGCAAAAATTGAACACCATTACTACCATTTAACACCATCCACTGGGATGATTTTAGGCTTCAAACTAAAAATGACAGAGTGTTTGTGTGGAGTGACTATCACCCGCCACCTTTTATAAAAATAAAGTTGTAGATATTTTGATTAAAACTTAAAAATAATGTTAGGGGTTACGCTCAATYGTTTGTTGTGAAGGACTCTCAGCTACTACCACATGGAGTTTTATAACAGTATCTGTAAAACTGACTTCAGTACAGCCATTTTTAGGTTAACTGTGACGCCCATATTTTATTTAAAACAACTAAATATCTGGTTACTTTCTAAATGTTTCATTAAAATCCATCCTGGGGTTCATCATTTATTTTTTTACACATGGATAACCCCAACAATTAAGTCAAAGATGACGAGTCACACTTGAAGTATGTGTTGTTCACAGTGTTGTATAAAGTATCTCGAAGTGATACTTGAGTAAAAGTACAAGTATCTTATCATTACATTACTTTGGTACCAGTTAAAGTCTCCTCCAAGGATATTACTTGAATAGAAGTCTTAAAGTATCTGATTTTTTTTGTACTTAAGTATCAACAGTAAATTGCTGACATAAATGTACTTAAGTATTAAAAGTAAAAGTATTGAGTAGAAAGGAGCGCTTTTCCAAAATGACATTTATTGGGAAGTGACCTCTCCAAAAAAATTTTTCTAACAGCATGCAGCTGTGATGGATTGTGTACAATTTGGTGTCAGAATGGTATATATTTATACTTCTTATCCAACTACAGTTAAATTCACTATTTCCAGGAGGCACAATTTATCAGGATAGTATTTTTTCAACAATAATGAGCCGAAATGAAATAGGAGTAATGACTTTCTACTTCTTACCTTGTTTAAAAATGTAAGAAGTAGAGTGAGAGTAAGAGTAGAAGTAAAAAGTAGGCTGCAAAATAATTACTCAGGTAAAGTACAAATAACCAAAATTTCTACTTAAGTACAGTAACTATGCATTTGGACTTGGTTACTTTACAACTCTGGCTGTCCATGACTCTCAGCTACCACCACACCACATCTTCGCACAGCACTGTGGCTATTTTTGTGTTTGCTAAAGCTGATTAGCTGTGGTAGCCATCTTTAATCAGGTTTGACTCCACAAGTGATCCAAGCTGTAGATAAACATCCAGAGACGATGTTCTGAAAGTATAAAAATAATTGTTGTCCTGTGGTTCATGAGATATTTAGCCAACAGACACGAACAAAAACATTATCGTGGGTGATAAAAACTAGATGGTTTGCTTCTCGTTTCTTTAGAACCGGGTCTGAATGTGAGGGGTTTCAGTTAGAGTTCTTTGGGCTTTAGACAAACTGTCTGATTAAAAACATGTTGACAGTTCTGACTCACTTCGATGTGTGGAAGACCGTCTGACAGGAAAACGAAGAAACCCAAGAGCAGGAAGAGAAAAAAAATTATATATATATATATATATATATGTACGATAGCCCCGATGCTATCATCATATATATGTATTAGCTCAGCGCTACACATTCTCCTCTCGTCACTGAGGTCCTCCATCCACATGACAGAGAGGGGAACACAAAAATGACCCAGCCTGCAACTCAAAATATGGATGGAGGACCTCAGTTTAGCTTGTTTGTCACGCTAGCACCGAGCTAATACATATAAGGATATATAGTGTTGGCGTTAGCACAAAGGCTAACAGGCTAAGCTGAGGTTCTTCTTCCATGAAGCAGCTCTGTTGTCCTCCATCTGTATTTTCAGTTAGAGAGTTATTTCTACCTTCTCCTCTCTGTCAACGCTCTCTGGTTTCATTTAAAAGAGTCGATCATCAGATATTGTCCAAGATTAACCTTCAGGGTGGATATAGCTCGCTAGCAGCCTCGCACCGATGACCTAGTTGATGTCATCATTTACCCAGAATGCTTTGCGTGTTAATAAAATGGCTCCGTCCATGTTAAAATATATTTTAAAAAAATTACAAAACTAAACAGCCTGCAGTATTTTTACAGTCTTTATTTTACAGTTAAAATAAATTTTTATCAAATAAAGTCTAATGTTACAACTAATCATGGATCCCTTTAAAGAACAGTGTTTTTCACAACAATATCCCTCTCAGCTCAAGTCCTCTGTGGTCCTCTGTTTTGTTGTTTGGTGCCCACACTGTTATCCCCCCACACCACTGTGTCGGGGGCCGTGTTGTGGGTGAGAGCCTCTGACTCATACCTGATGCTGGCGATGAGCTGTCGATGCTCATCAGTGGTGAGTATCTCTGGCAGCACGGCGGCCAGCCACTCCACCCTCTTCTCTGCTGCGTACTGCTTCAGCACGGCGAAGAGTTTCTCCTTCACGTCTGGCTCCTCGCCTAAGATCTGGTCCACCTGACGGAGACAAAAGATGTCAGAGCTTCAGCGGGTGTTACTGAAGTTATGACACGTTTTCTTACAGTTTTATTTGTTGTTTCACTCTAATGTTAATAGTCACCGTATGGGTGTAACACTTATCTCATTGGAGGAGGCATAATTTTAACACTTTTTTTGAAATCACATGCAGGGGTGACACTTTTTCTGTTCACTGGTTGCGATTATGGACATTCATTGTATCCCTGGGATTGTCATCAGCAAAAATTAATAATGCAACTTCTATAAAAATGTTAAACAAAACAAAAAAAAAGAGGGAGTGAATGTTTAAAATACATAAATGAATGAGCTGTGTGTGAAATGTTCCTCTTTTACAAACTTAAATGGAAAATAATAATAATAATTTGCCACAAACTCTTTAAACTAATAAATCACAATATGAAACAATCTTTTTCTAATAATTAACAATATATTTAGCTCAAACAAGTACTAATTCAAAAATATATCAATGAATTATTGTGTAAAAGTGTTTTAACATAAGCTCAGAAAAAAAGTTGAAGCAAAACTTTCCATTAAGGTACCTTCCTGTTGAACTCCAGGGCCTTGTGCTTCCGATCCAGCCTCGCCCCGTCTTCTCCCATCTGACTGTACTCCACGCTGACGCTTCGTTTCTGCCTTTGACCCAGGCACAGCACCCCCAGACGGAGCGTCCTCCCCTGGGAGGTCTTGATCAGTGACGCGGCCATCTCATGGTGCCTCACAGGGATGCCGTTCACCTCCATGACGTAGTCCCCGGCCCTCAGGCCTGCGCGTCCGGCTGGGGAGCACGGAGAGCAGTCTTCCACCAGGAGGGGGCAGTCTCCCACAATAGTAAATCCAAAACGACCATCTGGACCTGGGATGATGTCCATCTGGGCAAAACAGAAAACAAATTTCTTAGAAATTCAAGATGTGAAGCAAAAATATTGCACATGTAGAGCTCAGATTACAGTTTGTGTTAGGAATGAATCCACAAAACTTTAGATTTAGTTCTGTAAATTTTGTCTTTTTTTTTTTTTGCAACAACAATTAATGAGGTGGACCTGGTGTATGCGGGACACCACTCCAATGCTGGGAGGGATGTTCTTCTGAGTCTGAGCGATGGCGATGACRGCTTGTGGAGCCAGTGTTGACACGTTGTGGCCCTCAATCTCCAGGACCTGATCCCCCGCCTGTAGCCCTGCCAAATGAGCACTGCTGCCTTCCTCCACTGTCAAAATGTAACTGGGTCCATTCCCACCCAACTGGAAGCCAAAATCCTCTGGCCAGCCCTGGTTGGACGTTGGCATGTTGAGAACTTGATGGCAGAAAAGAAAAAAAATAAATAAATACGTGAGTTTTTATGCAAAGGATTTAATGCTGTGTAACTGTTTTGAAACACTGGGGTCAAGAGACAATAAAGAACAACTGAAATGTTTTTTTTAAATACAGAAAATGATGTAAACTGGAATTAGAGGCTAAAATGAGCATAACACAAGTTAAAAACAGCAGAACTATAGTTAAATGCTAAAAGAAGCATAACAGTAGGTAAATATAGCACAACGGATGCTAAAATCAGCCGAGCTAACATTAAAATCAGCTAAACATCAGGTGAAAAGAGCAAAAACAGATGGGAAAGCTCAAAGTAGTGAAAAAGTAGCAGAAAAYTGAAAAGCAGATGTTCAGATTTACTTGACAAATGGTAAAACTTGCAAAACTGATGCTAAAACATATAAAACAGTAGCTAAACTAACAACCCTAGATGTTCAAACTAGCTAAACAGATGTTGAAATTAGCAAATCAGTAGGTAAAACATACAAGGACAAAAAAAAGCATAGAAATTTTGCAAAACAGGAGCTAAAATTGGTAAAATAGATGCTAAAGCTAAGATTTGCAAAA